TAGTGCCGTTACAGCCGCTGCCCGTCTCCCCTGCCCCCACAGCAACCGAGCCGCGTCCCTGGATACCGGCGACAAGGAAAGGAAAGGAAAAGGCCGCGCCCGACGCTTCCTGGTCACCCTGAGGGGGCGCCACTGCCCACCCCGTTACCGCCCGCCCGAGCGCCCACAGGAGCCGCGAGCACCGATAGCTCCCACTCAGCTCGGGTCCTCTCCACCGACCCACGGGCACTTCCGCTTCCGGCCCTCCCGCTTAAAGGCCCCGCTCTACCGCTCCTAGCGGTAACGGCGTTCCCGGGACAGCCCCGCGGACAGAAAGCAAGCGACAGCCCGGGTCTCGTAGGGCAGGAACGTTTATTTCACGACTACATCGCCACCTTCCCCCAAGAACGGTGTACTCCGGGCAGGGCACGGCCACAGCCCCGGGGGTGGCGGGAGCGAGGGAATCGGTACACTGAACAGAGCGATTCACCACGGGGAACACAGAGTCCGTGAACATGGCTTGAGCGTTTCTAATTTTAATCCTTAGTATTTTCAGCACTTCTGCTAGTAATTATCGTCGTCACCACACGTTACAGCGGTTAGCTATGTACACACACACACACACGCGCGGTATTTTTGGAGCGGTTCTTGCGATCTTTGCGGTACTTTGTCGCCAGTCTCCGTGATCCTGTAAAGTGTAGCTGTGCTGTACACCAGGTACATTTTAGACAGTAGTTTTTAATCACTGTAATTAAACACTCAACAAAGAACATACTCATCACATAACGCCCACTAGCAAAAAGTTTTCCCCAAAAGTTTGTTTTGCTAATGTAAGAATATACCAAAACACCAATCACACAGATGTTTATAGCAACAGTTTAAAACATGGTAATTCACACACCGAAGCACAAAGAGTATAGTACCACTGCTGTTGAAAATGTACAAGCACTGTTTAATGACCTGAATGGAAAAAAAGCACAATATAAAACTCACTATCGTCACTCTATCCAGCTGCAGCTCATGGCTAACAATATACTGTTTAAAGGAAGGGTGGATAATTCTATGAATAATGTTTTGATAGCATTTGAGAATTTAAAAAAAAGAGACTACTGTCATCATGTATTTTGCTACTGTAAATATGCTAGTATGTTGTGTTTCAGCGCCTGGTTTTGCAGAACCAGTACAGTCTTGTTTGCAAGTAAGCCAATGCATGTAGGCATGTGTTTGCAGTCCCCCAAGAGGTGACAACACTGTGACATGTTCAGCTTTAGATGAAAATACACAGCTGCATATATGTGTTGTGTCCTAAGACAGCGTGAATCGCAAGGAAAAACGGCAGGGTTTTATAGCAGACATAAATGGAGCTAAGGAAATCAGTTATTTTAAATTGCCTCAAGAGAAGATGTCGTATCTTATGTAATCTCATGTGAGGTTTAGAAAATCATAAGAGCACTAAGAGTTGTGTTTTTACAGCAAAATATGTAGAACAGTGACGCAGCCTTCACTAGCCTCAAAGCAGCACCATGCTGAGGATGGTCCCCGTCTCTGGGCGAGGAAGTGTCACTCATTCAGTTTTAACTGCAAAACTGAGAATGTTACTGTTCAGCTCAGAGACTTATTGTTCTCCTGTTTCCTCTGAAAGCAAGATCTCAAAAATACAGCAGCAGCAAGGCTCGTAGATGGGGCAGATGCTGAGCAGACAAGCCCAATCACAGAAGATGACTTTCTCCTTCTCCAATGTTGTAACATGGCTGCTGATTCCCTCGCTCGGGTCTTTCTGTAGGACAAGAAAGCCCTTCTAATGTGCAAATGAGGAGAGTGGGATATGTCAGCTCCAATATGTTGTCTGCAACTGGTAAAGACTGCTTTGTATCTCAAAACCTAAGATTTTTTTTCCAGAGGTTGAGGGAAAACTTCTTCTTGTTTCCAATTTCTGGAAAAAAATACCTTTAAAATAGCAATGAATAAGTGGATGATATGGAACAATTATTCTGAAGTAATGCTAGTGAGTATATGTCACAGTAAGATTTAATAGCTGAAATGTACTGACACAGAAAATGAAAATATTGAATATATTAATACACTAAATTTTGTCAGTATTTTGAAATTAAACTATTTTTGTTGTGCCTCAAATTCAAATATAAGCCTTACAATTATCCATAGCCTCTGTTATAAATTAAACAACTTCTAAACAATACTTGTCAACATTCAAATCTCAATAAACTTTGGCAGCTCTTTGGTATATACTTATAAATAGCAATTAACAAAACAGTAAAAAGGGAGTGAGAAGGCTACCAGCAGGGAGCCTCTTTTTTTTTTTTTAAATTCCACAAAGGGGAAGAGAGCTCCCTAAGCAAAAACTGCTTCCAAGGTTGGTATATTTTCACAAGATTAGTAGCTCATCCTTCTTTTCTCTGTCTATTCAAATACTGTTACGTCAGGATTTTAATACATTTCAGACAATATTTTGTGCTCTACCATATATACATATTCAAAATTTATACACAAACAATAGTGGCTGTTTACGAGTAGAGTTAAATTTCAGTGCATTTGACAATTAATTATTGCACACAGAATAATCTCAAATGCCCAATTATTCTACTGGATAAATGTAGCAACAAATATAACCTCTTATATTTTTGAACATCTATCTTTCTGTAAAATCTTGCGTTGGTGACACCTTAGGTGCCAAAGAAGTGAAGGGATCTGCGGGGGATCTGTTGCTGGTTGCTCTTGATGGTATAGGAGGTGCAGGTGGTCTTCTTGCTGGCATTGTATAAAAGCAATCAGAAGAACCTTTATTCCAGTCATTATCAAAGTTAAAGTCTGAGCCAAGAAAAGTATTTTGTTCAGTGCCCAGCAAATCTGGAGATCCAGCTGACTTTGTGGAACTGATTTGCTTAAAATCTGGAACACTGTTAGATGGCTTTAGCTTTACATTGAAATTCTCCTCATCATCATCAAACGTTACCCATCCTTTTGGCTGTACATTTTTTACCATGAGAGATTTACTTCGCAAGCAAAAAGTGTTTGCAGATGCATCAACAGAAAATGCAGGCTTGCTTGTATTACAACTGGGGGGATTTAGAGAAGGGAAAGGATTGCAAGCGGCACGTCCTTCTAGTAAATGTGAAGTTACTTCAGGCTCTTGCGTTTCCATTCTAAATGGGTTTCCAGCATTAGGAGTTCTTTCAGTGAATGGATTTGTGCAGTTCAGTCCTGTAATAAATGGATTTGGAGAGCTGCGCTTATGTTCCTGGGATGTGTTAAAGGTTGGCATAGGAGGCATTGCTGGCATGCAATTTACAGCATTCAAAATATCAGCATTTCTTTCTGTTGCTGAAGGCAACTGTATCAACTCCTTTTGGTTTAAAGTCGGAACAGGTGATGTTCGAGCAGATGTCTGCATCTTTGACACAAGCAGCTTAAATGACAAATCTTCAAAAGGGTCACTGTTTAACTGTGTTTCAAGTTTAGTGCCGTGCGTTCCATTTGTTTTAATCTGCAAAGAAAACAAGGTGCTTAGTAATCACATGGCTGGCTGGTTTAAGATTATTACTAACTCCCCATTTCTCACTCTTCTATGAAAAGAAAAGAAGCTTTGGGGCTCAAACTGAAATTTCAATACAATTTGGTTGTAACACTGCATGTGTAGTAGAATGTTTGCTTCTTTTCTGTAAAACAATAACTCTTAACCTTCTCTTCTTTCCTTCTCCGAAGGAAAAGCCTACTAGTCATTAAGCATAATTTTCCCCCTCGTTGGTTAATGCAGTTTGAAACTACTCCATGCAGGTTGGAATCCTAGCCAAAAGCACTGGTGAATGTTGTATAAGAAAATCTCCAAGAAATTTGGGAAATTATTGTATTGCTGTATTCTAAACAAGTGATAACCCAGCACAAATATGTAATAAAAAGCTCTAGGTTTCATTGTTTAAGAGTTTATAACACTGATGTTACAAGCAATATTTAAGCATCATCACAATGAAAGGAAGAATTAGTGTTATTAGTATATGCACTTCAGACATTTCTATATAGACATACGCATCTGTAGGCATCTCCAGTCCTTCTTCACATGTGAAGGTACAATCATCCATTTATAATATTTTAAAATGGCAAGTTATCATTGTTTAGAATAATACCTAATGGAGAAGTCAGTTTTCTCCACAGAACTTCTCATCATTTCAAACCAAAGTATTTCTGTTCTCATAAATGTCTTCAAACAACAATGCAACTTTTATACCATGTAACAACTGTCCTAAAAGGTAGAATATCCACCTGTCTTCAAGTCATCACACTGACAGAACAGTTTGGAACTTCCCCTTATTAAACTAATGCAAAGAATTAAGCTTAAGTTAAAACAGCTTCTGAGAATTCAAATTTCACAAACAAATTTGTCATTTTAACACATCACCTTAATATACCCAAATATTTGGATATTTAGCATGAAAATTCTGCTAACCAATGTTTTGTTGAACCAGGATGCTAGCTAAAACTGTCAACTAAAATACAGTATTATTATAGCCTAACTTCAATCTTTAAATTTTTACTGCATTTATTGTGACTAGTTTGAAGCATGTTTCCACATATCCATTGCCTAAGCAGCTATGCAAAATTAGTCTACAGGCTTCAGAGACTCAGGAATAAAAATAATATTTTAAGTCTTTTTCCCCAGTGTATCCAACATAGTAATTTTTTTTTAAGAAATTGCAGTTGTAGCTTGAGTTGGTTGGCAGGAGAAACAAAGTCTGCTGGCAACAATGCCTTTGCTCTGGTGGTTCAGTGTTTTCTTTTGAAATAATGAAGTTGGTTACGTGCATCCCTGGTACTACTACATCAGGGAGTTTCTAAAATGGATGAGTTCTAACATTCTCAAACCATAAATACAGTAGTTCAATATTGGTATTTTTATATGTATGTACTAAGTGTTTTGGAAATTAA